TCCACACTGTATACACTACCTGCCTATTAGTCACTCAGGCGTCTTTGTTATCAGATAGTCTATTGCAGTATCACAGTGCTTTTGTCCAAGTAACTGCTATTTTATTTAATAATGATTCAGTCAGTTTCATTGCAGTATATTTTTATGACTGTCCTATTTTATTATTTATTATTTTTGGTAATTTCTTACTGTGCCCAATTTATAAATTTAACTTTATCATAGTTACGTATACATAGAAAAACATCACATATATTTGGTACTATCTGAAGTTTTAGGCATCCATTGGGGTTCTTAGGATGTACCCCCCTTGCATAAGGGGAGGCTATATAGTGATGTCTAACAGCCAATCATAAGAGGTGACCTGGCTCCCAGTGGAAGGTTGAGCCTGGGAGTGGTAGAGAAGTTACCCACAGGCTGAGCCAGCAGGAAAGGCATCAGAAGAAGGGGGCTGTTGGCTGCTGGGCAACAGTGTCGCCCTCGGTAGCTTGTGTATTACATTTTGTTTACTACATATAGTAACACCATGAGTTAGGTGCCATTTTTAACCCTCATTTTGCTGATATGGAAACTGAGGCACCATTTATATAATGTCCCAACATCTCAAAGGTGGAAAGTATGGAAGCTGGAATGCAACACAGGTTTGTTTGGTACCAGAAAAAGCCTGAGCTCTTTCTCCACAGTTCAGTTCATTCCTTAACCTAACCCTCCCTTTCTCCCTGCAGACCTGGAGTCCAGGCTCCCTGGAAGTACACCCCCCAAACAACACACATACTCATGCACGCACACACATACCCCCACTAACCTAGCGGGCACCTGGTAAGCTGGAAGATGGCCCAGTCCATTAGCACCACCAAGCACAACACATATGTTATGGCCCCAATTATAGCCTTCACCTCCTGCCACAGTGAAGGAGTAGGAACTGCGATGGGAATTGTGTGCACTCGGGTCTGAGGCCTCTGTAGCAACAGCTACAAGATTACAAAGATGTTAGCAAACGCCGGTGACGGCAGCTCTATTATAATGATAAATCTACAGCTTTATATAGAAATAATGAGACCGGGGGTAGGCGAGGAGGGAGGGGAGAACAGGACGGTTTTAGGCAATTGAAGCTCTGGCTGGAGTGACAGTGGCAAGGCCCTGGGGATGGCCGGGAGACCACCAGAGACCTTAGGCATCCACACAGGAGGGAAGGCAGCAGTGTCAAGGCAGCCATGCCCAGTGCTGGCATGGATACCATGAACTCCCTCTACTGCCTTCTCAAGCTAAGCTTCTTGATTCAGTGGAAGTCGAGAGTCCTCCAGCTCCCCTAGCAGGTCCCACTTCCCTGCTTCTTGTCCTCTGGCTGGTGCTGTATATCACCGGCTAGGCTTCCCAGGCCTCCCTCCAGATTAGCCTGGGAGTAGAAGGCCACCATCCCTTGTTGCTTATGATCTGCAATCAACAAAGAACTAGACTCCCGGGATGCTTACTTCCCATTCACTTGCCTTGAAGCTGCATGATCAGTGGCTAAGAGAAAACGAAAGTGTCAGGCTTTGCTATTTCAACCCAAGTCCTGTGGCACGGGCCTGCGTGGTTCCACATGCCAAGGCTGCCTCTGCCTCTCCCACATGCATCCCATTCACAGCACTTATGCGACCACAGAGCAGCTTCCTGAGTGCCTCTCCTGCTCAGCCTGGGGGCCACTGACCCTCTGCTCTGGTCCAGCCTACTGGATTTACCTGACTGGTTAGAAGTTACTTTGCTACTTCAAAACAATCCATCCACTTGAACCATGCACGGGCTGGGTCTCTTCTCACCAAGCCCAGCTCTACCCATTTTCAAAACAGTACTGGAGCCTTTCCTCCAGGAAGCCTTCCCAGGTTAATCCCATGCAAGTCCAGCTGTTTCCTGATTATCCTTTCCTTGCAGACCAGTATATAATTTTAATTGAATTAAGTAAGCATCAGTCATTCAAGAGTGCATGGGTTCTCACATCCAGGCCAGAAGGAAGATACAAGAGAAAGTCAACTGTGGGACACAGACATGCCCAAGACCTCCACTGGGGGACTAAAGGACTTTGCTGGACAGACTATGATAGGACTATACCGAGGGACACAGAATACATCAGAGGGGTGGGTACGAGGATTTCTGGGAGGCTTTGGAGGGTAGATTGGTTTGGATTTAGCAGAGGTGGGGGTCAGACCTGCTTAACAGAGCCCTTGTGAGCAAAGGCAAGAGGTGGAATGCTATACATGTTGAGGGACCAGTCTGAATGCAGCAGAGGAGCTGCCATTCTGAACTCAGGTCCAACATGTAACTCTGGGGACAAAATCAGGACACAGAAGAGATGTGAGCTGGCTGTCAGTTGCACTCATCTGTTCCCCATCACAGTGGCTGTAGCATTTCCTGCACAGTGAATGCTCAGACATTCCCAGTGACTGTGAGTTTGGTCTCCCCGGCCCCCAAATAATTAAATTTTCATAGCCAGCCCCGAAAAACAGGTAAAAGCACCAGTCTGTTTGCAACCCTTCCCCCTCCTTAACTTGAGTACTTGCTTGCCAGGGCTTGAGCTGAGGACTGAGCTCCTGGGGCTTGTGCTTGCTGGTGGGGCTGCAGGCTGGGGGGCTCCAGGGGACTCACCTGAGGAGGATCTTTTCTCAGACTAACTGCATGCAAGACACGGGTGTGAGCACAGTCCCATCTCCACTGCTCCGGAAATGCCTGGCCTGGACGCCCTCTGCAGCTGGCTGGAGTACATCCCCTTCCTTTTGGCCCCTCAGGTTATTTACAGCCACCTTTCCCCACCTAGTTTAATTTCCCTCATCTGGGAGACTTTCCTACATGTTCTTGCTCTCAGGGCTCCTGGAAGTGCACACAGTAAACAGTATTTGCTGGTTTGCTTTGCCAGTTCCTGCACAGACATGACCCGGTCCATGGGTCAAAGAGGCTCCCAGCCCCCATGTGCCTGGCATAGTCTTCTTGGGAGGTGGAGAAGGGCTAGCATGATGCCGAGGAGGATGAGGATGGTGAAGATTTTTCTGGTGCCCTTGGGAGGATCTGTCTTTTCTGAAACTGGGCTGGGAAAGTGGAGGTGGGACACTAACCCAAAAGCCACAGAGTGCCAGGATGTGGGAAGTTATACCCAGGTGCAGCGTGTGCTTGGGCATATACTGCCTTCTCCAGGGTGAAGCTGTGCTCCTGCCTGGAGCTGAGGGAATAGGATAAGAACATGGGGACACGAATGATGGGCAAAAAAGCCTCCGCTGCCTCCACCGCTCCGGCTCTCATCACCCTGGGCGATGAGCTGCCTCTCCACCTGTATAGTCACATAATGAAGCTGCTGCCTTAGGAGACGCAAAGGGAGAGCTGAACCTGATGTAAACTTCAGAGTGATTTATGTGGCAGAGCTCCTGGTCCCAGGCTGGTGCACAGCTGCTCTGTGTCCCGCCCTGTCTGCCCGCCCCGTCTGTCTGCAGACCCTGCCGGCTGCTCAAGCTGTTCTTGGGGATGCCATTTCAGAAGAACAAAGGTGGGAGAGCCATGGGGACATTAGGCTGGTCAAAGTTGGTGCTGGCTATGAGAACAAGGTGACCCAGAGACCCTTCCCAGGGCAGAAGCAGAGCCCACCAAGCTTTTTCTCTTTGAATAAATCAAGATTCGTGCCCTCTGCCAATGGGAAATCAACAGGGCTGATTTTCCAAGCATGTCTCCTTGGAAATTCAAGAGAGGTATTCAGTATGGACTGTCCAAAGGCAGAGTCTACAGAGAGAGTTGGGTCACCCTTCTGGCACAGGTATGGCTCAAGAAATATCCATGACAATCAGAACCCAAGGCCCTAGATATGAGGCCATCAGAGCTTGGTATAAATGTCCATGTGGGGCTCTCAACTGCCCCAGTAATCCCAGAGGCACATACTAGCTACCCCATGGCATGTGGCACTTGGCCTCCTTAGCCCAGAGGACTGTGCATGCTGGCACAACTAGGGCCTCTGGGTTACACATTTCCTAGTTTTCAGTGCCAAACCTGTCCTCCCTTCCCTTAAAAGCCAACTTGAATCTCAACTCCTTGAGACCTTCCCTGGTTAATTCTAGGTGACAGTGAAAGGCCAGGATCTGCCCCCATGTATTAGCCAGTTCTCCTTTGAGCCGGTCTTGCCCATATCCTATATGGCACTGAAGACAACACTTAACACAAAGGCCTCTGGTATGTGCAGTCACCAGTATTGTTCATTAAACTTTTGCAATTCTTTGATTGCAAAAGGATTGCTTTGCTCCTGTCCTCCTTGATATTAAGAGTTGCCATGTGTCTTGCTTCAGCTAGTGAAATGTAAGTGAAAGTGACATGTGTCATTTCTGCATGAAAGAGTTAAGGAACAGTGCATGATTTGCCACATCCTCTCCCTCCTGATATTTAATTGTGGGTGCACATGTCAAGATGGAGCCTCTGTTGGCTTAGATCCCTGGGTAACAAGGAGAGAGGAGCCCCTAGCCAAGCTGCAAAGGACATGTGACATGAATGAAAAATGAACCTCACTTGTCTCAAGCCACAAACTCCTGGGATTGTTAGTTGCCGCACCATAACCTGGTTCATCCTGATTGATACAGTGTGTTCTTGATTGCCTACTCCATGGCTCTAGTTCACATCAATGCCCTCAGTAGATGTTGCCATCTGATTCAGTCTGTGGTCCTGGCCCAATCTTTACCCAGGAATATACAACATAATTTTATAGCTGGTTAACCTGAGGCCTTGCGGGTTGAGAACCTCACAAAACATATCATCAGAATCAAAAGATAAAAATTTACTTGCCTTCCCACCCACACGGGAACTCTTCTACCCTCCATCCCAATTTGGGCAGAATGTAAAGACTTCCCCAGGTGCTCTGGACCATCTGGCAGTTTTGTTTCCCTTATCCTGAAGGGCAGAGGCTCGTGTGTCTCTAAGGGCTTGGGGGCTGGAGACATGTCCCATCCCACCCAGCACTGGGAATCCTCAGTCAGCCAAGGGAACAGAGCTGTACTCACGCTCGTGGCATACTGGATGTCCTTCCAGATGGAGGTTTCCCGGGACAGGTCAGAGGCTTCAAAGAGGTTATCTAGGATGACCTCCCCAATCATGTCATGGCGGGAGAAGCGGTCGAAGTCAAAGACACTGAGGTGCAGCTTGCGGTCGGCCAGCTCCTCATAGGGCACAGGGAAGTGGAAGTTCTCATCGAACGTGGGGTTCAGGGTCTTACGGTGCACCCGGGTCTGCAGCTTGCATTTGCGGTCGGGCAGGAGGTAGATCTTGACATAAGGGTCAGAGCTTCCACAAAAGTCCTTGGCAGGGAGGTCAAAAGCTTTCAGGATGCGCACAATCAGGGTCTCACTCTCATAGTCATAGCGTAGACTGAAGTTGATCTTCCCGCAGCTCTTGGCACCCTCAGACTTGGCATCATCCCCATCCACTGACTTCTGCTTGTAGAGCTCAGGCTTGATGCGGCCAATGCTGGTAGGCTGTTCTGCTGCGGGTGGCAGCTCATTGCCATAGTCTACGCTGGAGACATGCATCTGCCGTGGCAGGTGGCGCTTGAAGGATGTGTGCCTGGCAGAGAGCAGGAGGGGCAAAGAGAGTGTGTCAAGGCTCGGGGAAGGGGACACAGGAAGACCCGTCCTTGGTGGCACTGGATCATCCTACCCCTTGTAAAGCCCCCTTTTTCTCCCCTTTTTTGACCCTATTTTTCCTCTGCATACATTTTGTGCACAAGGTGGTTGGAAGCTTTAATATATGTAAAGTAGTTGGAATGGTGCCCAGTGTATAGAAAGCTCAATAAATGTTAACCATTGTTATAATCATTTTCCTGCTTTCTAAGTTTTTTTCCTAGTAGGCATGACTCTGGTTCCTCTGTTAATCCATGAGTGCCCTTGGGAGAAGGGTCTCGCTCCATAAATCATCATCATCATCAACATCATCATCATCATCAACATCATCATCATCGTCGTTGTCACCACCATGACCACCACCATTTGTTATTTACTATACAGCCAGCAGTAGGGTGATGGAAAGCATAGGCTTGGAGTCAGACTGGATAGCTTGATTTTAGTTCTGCCACTTTCTAGATATGTGACCTTGGACAAGTTATTTAAATTCTCTATGCTGGGCTGGGGATTTAGGTCAGTAGTTCTGCCGCCTGCCTTGAAAGTGCTAGGTCCTGAGTTCAAGTCCCAGTACCAAAAATAAATAAATAAATAAATAAAATAAATTCTCTATGCTATAAAAATAAGGATAATAAAAGTAATTGCATAGAATTTCTGTGATGGTGAAATAAATTAATACATGTATAGTATGAGCCATATAATACTAAGAATTAAGCCAGGTGTATTATAATAATAATATATATATATATATATAAGCATAAGCTGTTAGTATCACATGGATTCTTTACTTGGTTCCTCACAACAGTCTGTAAGAGTCATTAGCTCTATTCTACAGTTGGGAGAACTTCCTGAGGTTCAGGGAAGGTGAGCCACTTGCCCGAGAAGCCACTCCCTCCCTCTGGTTGGTCCCTGGAAGCCTGGAGGAAAATTTCAGGGACCTGGAATCCACATGAGCCCTAAGTTTTGAGCATGAGTTCTAGTTTTGAGTAAATACAGTGTCTTGTACCTGCATGTACCCCACCCTTTAAAGGTATTTCTTCTTTTGAAGTAGGATTTTTTGTCATTATGTGTTTGTTGTATTGTTTTGAATTAAAGGATGCCACTGAAACAACTGCTATCATGCAGGAAACTCTAAGAGGTTTGAAAGGAGTCCTCATTCTTAAGAAGGACTCTCCTCTTGCCTTATTTCCCATGAACTATGGGACATAGCTATGAGAGGCTTTGCTAACATATCTCCAAACACACCATGAACTTTTATGCCCCTGAGTCTGCATATTCTCTTCAAACACCCTCCACTCCACGCTTCTGTTTCATCCACAGCTATCCCAGGTACACAACACATGCATAGCACCCCACCCGAAAGGTCCCCTTTTGTGACATCTCTCCTGCTGCCCACCTCCTCTTTGATTGCCCACCATAGGCTGCATCATGAGATCTACTCCTTAACAAACATGTGCTGTTACTTCTGGCCTCTGATCTTCCCAGGCTGAAATCTCATTAATGCACTGAATACAGAAATGCAGGCAGGTGAGACTTAAGAAGCAAGGAGCACATTCTTCACCTGGTGGATGATGCTGGCTCTGTGGTCTGTCGCTGCAGCCGTGTGTGACGCATTATGTGCTCCTTTACTGACATCTGCACCTCGGCTGGGATATCTGGGGATGTGTGACTAATCTTCACAGCCGCCTCCAGGAAGCCCAGGGTGCTGGGGTCCTTCAGCTTGTCCGCCATGTTGCTTCTGGAGCTAGGGCTCTGGAAGGCCTCTAAGTGAGGGTTAGCAGAAGAGGGGCTGGAGGCCTCCTTGTTCCTCCAGGGTGTCCAGCACAGCTTCCAAAAGAGAAAAAGAAAAACTGCCACCAGGGCCACACCACACACAATAACCACCACGGCGAGAAGGCCAACAGAGGTGCCTGCCCAGCAAATGCCAGTCAGGGAGGGACAGAAACAGACAGAAGCAGGAAATAGCAGGCAAAGGTGTTGGCAGAGGGTGCACACAGAAGGGACGAAGACGAAAGAAGAGAAAAGAATGGTCATGAGAAAAACTGCCAAGTCAGGAGAGAGATGACTTTTAGAGTTGACTCTCAATTGTACATTTTGTGAAATATCTGTAGCCTTCTGTTTACCTCAGCCTGATTTCTCCAATATCATCCCCCACCACCACCACCAGTTAGAGGAGCACCTTGCTGCTTCCTCTACTGCCTACTGGCATGTGTGCAGGGAAGGGAAAGTAATTTAAATGGCAGCCTAAGCAAACGTGCAAATTCGTGAAGCATTCATATTTGGATGCTGTTTGAATTTCTATTAGAGCTGTTACTAAGGCCAGACTCATCAAAGTGTTTTTTGTGTACAGCTTTCTTCCCCCATGGGGCCAACTCACTCTATTCTCTTCTTGTCTCATCCCCATCTGGCCCAAGGCAGGAGCTCAGCAAACAATGAATTGACTTCAAGGGAATGGGGTCAGCCTCATATCCTTGAGTGCAGAGGATGGCTTCTCAGAAGGAGAATACTTCAGAGTACCCCAGAGCTCAACAGATACTTGTATTAAGTTGGAATCTGTTGTACGCAGTATATGTCAAAGCTAAATACAAAATACAAATGATTGATAGCTACCCTTTTCCATGTCAGTGACTATTCGAGGGACTTGCTGTAAAGCTGGTCGTTTGAGCACTGTGGTTGATTCAGAGCTGGGTACCCACACCTAGCTTGCTCCTGACCCAAAGGGATGCCCATGATCATAGCAGTACCATGCATGATGCCTCTCTTTGGGAGAAATCATTCAGCAGACCTCCCACCCGACTTCCCTCTCCAAATCTGAGAGTGAACCTTTGAGCCTAAGGCCTCTTTTTTCTCTGAGTAGAGAAATCAGAAAGCTCTGAACCAATGGTGGCCTGCCAAGGTTTGCAAAAAGGTCACTTGTGGACAAGCCAGTAGAAGAATTTAGTTTGGCTTGCATAATGATTGAGAAGTTAGGAAATTCCACAATCATCACCACCCCAGATTCTCTGGGTGAGGCTGATGATTTGGCACCTGGACCCATGCCTACACAGCAGGCACTGGTGACTCCCTTTGTACGGGTGGGTCCTTGCCAGCTTAACCCACCCTTCCCTGTTTCTTGCCAAGTCCCTGCAGGCTTGAGAGGTTGAAGCCTCTAGATTAGCCTGCTTCAATGCCTTTAGAATCTTAGGACTTAAAAGTTAGAAACGATCCCACAAAGACTGAGGCCAGGTTTTACTTTTACATATGGGAGCTGTGGCCCAAAGAAGGGACTTGCCAGGGATCACAGGCTGATCAGGTGCAGAATCTACACCAGGGCCTAGACATCCATAGTCCAGCCTGGCACTCTTTCCACTGTTCTGGTCTGTTTGTCCGGCATTAAACTATAGACTCCCATAGACTCCTGTTACCCTATGTTTTCACATTGCTTGACTCATGAACTAGCTTAGAAACTGGCACATGGGACTGAGTGAGTGAATGAACAAATGAATGGAATATAAAAGAGCTATGATCATCTCCCATTTCAATTAAGTGTAACCAACATTTCCTGAGCACTTTCCAGGTGCTGGGCCCTGAACTAGGCTTGGGGGATGAAAATGACCAGGTTCTTCCTGTATACTGGCTCCTAGGAAAGCCATGTCACACCAGAGAGGTCTGAGAAGTCAGTGAGAACCTCAGCCACCCTCTCTGGGGGCAGCACTGTCTTTCAGCTCCCTGCTGCCAGTTACTTGTCTGGATCAGCAATCAGGTACCTCTAGGAATAGGGAATGAGGGCACAGACTCGTCAAGTCCCAAGCCTCCTATCACTGCCCCTGCCCAGCACCTGCATGGAGACAGTGGAGCACTGGAGCCCTTTCCTGGCCAAAAAAGCTGGAGCTAGTCCTTGCCCCAGAGATCACCAGGGACCAGGGAAGCCCATTCTATGGTTCCTTCTAGGCAAATGGTCTTCAGTGTGGTGTTCCTGTGCCTCAGGGGCACAAGGAAAAAATAAGATCATTTTAGTATTTATTATCTTATATAAGAAATCAAAATTTTAATATATAGGTTGATAGTAATAATGGCATTTTATTATTGGATTTAATCAATTTATTCAACTTTACTATGTGAAAGGTTTAAAGTGCTTTTTTATATGTTTACTTGCTTAATCCTTTTCACTGAATTGGTACAATATTATCCTCGTTTTGCAGGTGTGGAAATAGATACAGAGGATCGCTCAGGTCACGCAGCTAGTGAGGAGTGGAAACAGGCTTTAACCCAGCTGGTCCAGCCCTGCAGTATCTCCTCTGTAGGACATGGACCTGTGTATAACTTGGGGACACATAAACACGTATTGGAGATAATAACTCAATTTTTTCCTGTTATGGATTCATAATCTAATTAGCTTAGAGACTATTTCTCCAAGCCCTTATCCTACTGGCCTCCCCCAGAAAACTATTACAAATTTTCGTATCCTTATTCTAAGTATCTGGCTGTCTCCAGATCCTTCACATCTGTTCTCTGTTACAGCTGTTCTGCATGCATTCTCTGCAATGGAGTCTCCTAAAACAAAAGGTATTTCTAGGGCCTTGCTTTCCTTTGATCATACATTTTACTTGCTCTGTTAATAATTAGAATTTTAATGAGAGGGGGGTTGAGGGGAGTGCATGGAGTGCATTTAAATGTTCAGTCTGACAAAAAACTGAATTTCTAAATGAAAAAAGAGATGGGGGAAGGGTGGGCCAGGGAATAAGTTTTTTTCTCAGTATGACTGCTATTTCCATTGCTTTGCCACATGACCCCCAGCTGTTGCTCCCTTGGAGCTGTGATTAGGGGAGGTGGAGGGTATTATTGGGAATCAACACCCAGCACTCAGTACTGGTTATATAATGCCAGGAGGCCCATCTTGTAGCTGGAAAGTCTTCATCCAGGACTAGGAGGGCCTGGACTTTGACTTCGTATGGGGAGTCAAGGAGAGAGCAATTAGATCCTGCACACTGAGAGGCTCACCCATGCAGGGACACAAGGTGATAACCAACACAGTACGAGCAGAATCAAGCTGGGGTGGAGGTTAATGTAGAGGATTTAACCCCTCTAAAAAATCACTATTTGTGGCCCACAACTCAGCCAGGCTTCATCCCATGGTGTGTTGTCAGTTTTCTGTCACTGTAACAAATACCCGAGATAAACGATTTATAAAAAGAAAAGGTTTATTTTAGCTCACAGTATTAGAGGTTTCAGTCCATGACTGGTTGGTCCTGTTGTTTTGGTTGACACAGCACCTCATGGTGGAAGCATGCAGTAGGACAAAAGTGCTTATGTCATAGCCAGGAAGTGAAGGAAAGAGAGAAAGAGAAAGGAGGTGGGGTCCTGCTGTTCCCTCTAGCTGAAGCCCTCAATGACCTGAAGACCTTCCCCTAGGTCCAACCTCTGAGAGGTTCCTCCACCGACAGCACCACCTGGGAAAACAAGCTTTCAGCATAGGGGCCTTTGGAGACATTCCAGATCCAAATTACAGCACCTGGTTCAGGTGCACTGAGGCCAGGAAGGAATGTAAGCTCCATAACTGCCCACAGACTGTGCACAAGGCTCCATCCCTAAGATGTGTGCCTTTCTACCTTGGGCTTTTAGGGCTAACCTGTCAGGAAAATAATTGTCCCCTAGGAAGTCACAGGTATACAAATAACCTTCAAAACACCTTTTCTATTCACATCTTGTTTGAACTTCGACCCCCAGAGGCAGATAGCACTCTGATGGGTAACTCTGTTACCTTCTCAGTCCTGATCCAGCTCTCATCCTATGGATACCATACACAAGCCTCAAAACTAGAGAGATACATTCCTCCAGCACTGGAAAGGAGAAAGCACTTCCACAGCATTTGTATTCTTTCTCTGAATCTTCTTGCTTATTTACCCTTCAGGCTAGAGTGAAAGAGACAGGATTCGTTCAGTGTCCATTTTCAATGGCTTTAAGCTGTGTGACTCTGGAAAACTATGTAATCTTTCTCAGCCTTAATTTCCTCATCCATTACAATGGGAATAATAATAGTGTTTGCCTCATAGGGTCATTGTAAAGTTGAAACCAGATCAAGAGTCCCGAGGACCACACCTAGAAGGTAGTTAACCATATACAGATACTACCTATTTTTACTAGAATTACCTATGCTCAGTCTAGTTTTAAATATCCTTTAGTTTTAAACTTTGCTCAGTGATCAGAACACCTGCAAGCCATGAATGCTAGTCAAGATAACTTTAACCTTATCATTACAAACCAAGAACAGTCCTTTTTTTAAAGAACAGTCTTACTAGTAGAAAAAATATAGCTATTTCATACATATCCAGGTGTCTCTGTATCTTGAGACATAATATATACTATGTGAAAGATCACAACATCTCCAAGATTTTCTGTTGATATTCATTTTCTTGGTACTGCCCTAGTTGTGTTGTTACCATCACTACCCAGTTGGTAGGCAAGTACAAGTTCCAAAGAGGTAGGAAGAAAATCATGGAAGGAGAGCCTACAATTGAGAACATCCTATGCTCTGGCAAAGCTTTCTCGGAAACTGAAGGAAGTAAGTTCATGACACATATTAGTCATGAAACATCTTCACTCAGGTATCAGAGACACTCTAGTAGCCCATAGGCACCTGACTTGGGAAACTATAGTTGCCAATGGGAAAGAGTCCCTTCAAAAGAGAAGAGCTACAGAATTAGGCTTTGGAGACCTATGTCAGAGATGAGGCATTGTACAGAGGTTTGTGGCTTTTACCCCTGGCTGGGGGGTGGATTTCACAACATGCTCAGAAACTGGGCAGACATCTCAGGCGGGGATCAGGCTAGGATAACCACAGAGCCCATTCCAGCCACATTGCTTTCTCATTGTATGACCTGGAGCAAGTTGTCTAACCTCTCCAAATCTTGGTTTACTCCTTTACTTAGTG